TTCGTTTTCATGTAGTGCGCAATCTGGATGTCAAAGCCGCCATCGTCGAGCGCTTCAACAGAACGTTGAAAGAGCAAATGTGGCGGTATTTCACACATAAAAATGCACGTTGTTACTTCGATGTTTTACAGGATATCGTGCGAGCTTACAATCACACGCGACACTCGTCCACCAGAATGCAACCGGCGACCGTTACGAGAGAAAACGCACGTATCGCACGCGAAAATATAACTCGTCGTTGGCCAAAGGGCAAAATGTCGAGCGAGAATCACGGGCGAAAGGTTAAATTCCGCGTCGGCGATTTCGTGCGTAGTATCAGTAGCGCGAAAGCTGCCTTCGAAAAAGGATACGAAGCGCGCTGGAGCGAGGAGATATTTCGAATTCATCGCGTTCTCGTTTAGCGAAAACTGCCCGTGTACGAATTAGCTGATTTAGCGGGAGAAGTCGTAGACGGTATTTTTTATGAACAAGAATTAGCCCGAGTTGAGAAAAACCTGCAGGAAGAACAATTTATCGTCGATCGCGTGATAAAGAGTAGAGGCCGCGGCGCTAATAAACAAGTGCTAGTTAGTTGGCGCGGATATCCCAGTAAATTCGATTCTTGGATCGCTGCTTCGAATTTAATTTCTCTTCGAGATGGAGAAGGAACAATTTCACATGGTTCTACCGAGCAATAGCAGTATGAAGCATTTTCCCGATAATACAACCTCTTCCTTCATTACGGAACTGCCACATTCTATACATTTGCATGGCCAGTGGGAGGTGGCGCTAAGCGAGATTCAATTTCCCTGTACTTTCTTACACGTGCGTCCCGGTGAAAATAAGATCAAATTCTACGAGCTCAAACTCGACGAGAAGGTGAATGCTGCGTTTGCACCGAAAGAAATTGTAATAAATATAGGAATTTACAAAAATATACAGGAGCTTATTCTAGCGATTAATATGGCGTGCAAAACCAGCTTATCACATTTTAATTTTGAACTAACTGAGGCGAGAGGAGGTCGCATTCGTATAAACGTTAGCTGTGACAATAAATGCAATTCGATTCATCTTATAAATTTTCCTGATAATATTATTCGTATGTTAGGTTTGGCGGGAGACCTTGCTAAGGAAACTGAGTTTTTTACCAAGTTTGAGATATTTAAAGCTAATTCCAAAAGGCTAACTGAAAAAGTAAATTTTCTCAAGTTCAATTTTCCGACTAAAAATGACCAGAAATTCAAACATTTCTGGGCTAGCGAACCTCATAGTCTATGGAGCGGTATTCCCGATAAAATGTTTGTTTATTGCGATATTTGCGAGCCTTATATAACCGGTGATGTGCGAACTCCACTTCTCCGCGTTGTGCCGGTCGAGATACGTGAACATAATTACGCGTACGGTACGGTTCTGGTGAGTCGTTTTTCTCGACTGAATTATATCCCTGTGCGACAAACAAATTTTCGTAGAATCGAAATAGATATAAGAGATCATCTTGGTGAAAGAATACCATTCAATTCCGGAACGTCGACGGTGATATTGCACTTTAAACGTGTGCATTAACGCGCATCTGTGTGTACACAATTAAGCCGGCACTGAACATCTACTTCGAGAGAGAGAGAGAGAGAGAGAGAGAGAGAGAGAGAGAGAGAGAGTTGGCAAAAATAAATTCTGCGATGGAGTACGGCGAGTATTTCGATACATCAAGCGAAGCCAGACGAGGCGGAATTCCGCGCGTTTTCGTCGGATCGCCGTATCAACGTGGCCATGGAATCGGAAGTTTTCTCGGTGGATTATTTAGAAGAATACTACCTTACCTGAGCAAAGGTGCTCGTGCTGTCGGTAAAGAAGCTTTACGCGCGGGAGTTAATGTAATGGATGACATCGAAAACAATGTACCGCTGAAGGAAGCGGTCGCAACGCGCTTCAAGGAATCAAGAGGTAATCTCAAGAGAAAAGCCGAAGAAAAAATAAGTAGCCTAATGAGGGGATCGGGATATAAAATACCCGCAAAAACCACGTCGCTTCAGTTTCCTCACGTCAGCCAGCTTACTCGCCTCGCAAGCAGTTCCGCGCACCGTAAACGCCGACAGGCAAAAAAATTGATAAAAAGTAGTGTACGAAAAAAGAGTAAAAAGAAGGCTTTGAAGAAGAAAATTCGTACGGTAAGAAGAAAAAGCAAAAAATCATCCGTTACGAAACGTCGCAGAAATAGGGGGAAGAAAAATCGCAGGGTGTCAGACATATTCTCATAATCGACACTATACATCGTGAGAAAAAGAGAGAAAGAGAGAGAGAGAGAGAGAGAGTAAAATATGTCCTTTCTCCATACCCACTCGAGCGAGTGTTTAAAAAGCGAGCTCGATCTCTTTTCTATTCCGCCTACGCAAACCAGCATTGAAAGTTCACAATGGATTTATTACAAACCAGTAACATCGCTCGCGGACGACGCGCCTGTAGAATTCGTCATACCCGGGCACGGAGAAGACTACCTGGATCTCACTCACACCCTGCTGAGTCTACGTATACGGGTAGAAAGCACCGCCGCCGCAGCGTCCGGAGAAGGCGTTGCCTCTGGCAGCGCTACCATTGTGCCCAAAGTAGGCCCCGTAAATCATCTACTACATTCCATGTTCAATCAAATCGATGTTTATTTCAATCAAAAGCTCGTGTCACCAGCAAACAACGCTTACGCATACCGCGCGTACATCGAGGCATTATTAAATTATGCTACACCCGCAAAAACCTCCCATCTGACCTCCGCCCTATGGGACGAAGATCTCCCCGGAAGCATGGACGATTCGATAGAAGCAGGTGGCAATCCAGCACTTCAAAGACGCGCAAACTACATTCAATCAAAACGTGCGCTAGATCTCATCGGCCATCTTCACTGCGACGTTTTCAATCAAGATAAATTTTTAATTAACGGTGTGGAAGTTAGAGTGAGACTCGTTCGTTCAAAAGACGCGTTTTGCTTAATGGAGACTAATTCGCTATCGAAAATTCGAATTCTAGACGCCAGTCTGCTCGTAAGAAGAGCGAAAATAAGCCCCGGTGTGCTACTCGCACATGCGAGAATGTTGAGTAAAACCACCGCTAAGTATCCGCTCACGAGAGTCGAGGTAAAAACATTCACGATACATTCTGGCCTCGTCGGAGAATCGATAGATAATTTAATACTAGGTCAGCTACCGAAACGTATAATAGTCGGCTTTGTTGATAACAAAGCGTTTAATGGCAATAGAAAATTAAATCCGTTTAATTTCAAAAATTACGGAATAAATTTCTTTTCGCTCTACGTCGATGGTATGCAGGTTCCTAGTAGACCGTTACAGCCGAGCTTTGCGAACGGCGCAGAGCTCTACGTTGAAGCTTATCACACTCTCTTCTCGGGTACGGGCATTCACTTTTTGAACGAGGGTAATTCTATTAATAGAGAGGATTATTACAGAGGATACTGCCTCTTCGCTTTTGATCTTACTCCCGATCTATCCGCTAATTGCGCCGGCCATTGGAATCTTGTGAAACACGGCAGCATGCGATTAGAAGTACGATTCGACAAGCCTCTCGAGGCGACCGTCAATTGTATCGTTTATGCAGAGTTCGATAATGTTCTGGAAATCGATTCTTCTCGACAAGTTATTGTCGATTTTTCCAGTTAGACTTTTCACATCGAACCTAAATAATATTCAGCAACACCGCATTATTACCCCCACTATTTTCATTTATCACCGACATTTTACCGGGATAATGCTAGTTGCTTCGAAAAAGATTCAGTTACGCTCGAGACACGGACGTTGCCGCACTTGACTTGAAAAGTATTAAGTTTTAAGTATACATAGCAAAAATTTTGAATAACACCATGGATATAGTTATCGAGATGCAGGGTTTCCGCGATGCTGCCGAGAAGTTTATTCCAAAGGAAGTCGCACTTCTAGCGATTAACTCGCCGTTCATCGGGCATTGGATTCTGCTGCCGCCATGTGTATTTGACGATTTACCCGAGAGTGCAAGACGTGAAAATAATTGGCTTTCGCGAAATTATCACGGCATTGAATGGTTCGACGGTGAAGTGAATCTCAAATACTTTACACAGCTTTTACGAGAGATTACACGACGAACACGCTACATATATACCAGAGGACATGAAAAAGTCCTTTACTTGCGTAATCTTCTCTCCAGAAACGTTTATAATCTGGAAAGAATTTCACCGCCCTTCAAACTCTTGCCCGACGAGGTGGAGAACGGTCATCGCTGCTCTCATCACGGATTTCGCGCTGGCGCGAAGTTTCTTTGCGCGTTACGCAACGCTTACAAATTAAAGCATTGGCTAGCCACACGATAGCGACGCTTCAAGCTGTGAAAATCTGAGCTCAATCCCCGAAGTCAGCGAAGAGGAAGAAGAAGAAGAAGAAGAAGAAGAAGAAGAAACAGACAGCGAACAAAAATTTAAAATAACCCGTAACATCGAAGCGTGGCGAAATAATACAGTAAAAAAAGAAGAAGATAGAAATCAGAAAAAAGACGAGCAAACAAAAGGCGGTTTTCCAATAGCAAGAGAAAAGAAAGAAGAAGAAGAAAAGCAGCAACCGAAAAATATCTCGATTCCGAATATAGTCCGCAGCAACGTAAGATTTCTAACGCACGACGACAACGTAACCTCGCCTATTATCCCCCTGCAAGAATCGGTAACAGCCAAAAACGCAAGTACGATCTCATC